GTCATGAGCATCAGGTCCTGCAGCCAATGAGCATCGGGGTGTGGGGCGGGAACCCAGGGAGCCTTAGAATAATGCGACTTACAACAGCCGCTCAGTCAGGGAGGCAGGTAGGTGAGTAGTAATGCATTTCGTGGAAAGGAAATAAAATAAAATACAATTCGGTAAATGAAATAAAATTAAGTTAAAAAAGGAGGGTGAATGAGCAGCGTGAGAGCTCCTCACCCTGAAAACACTTGCCCCAAGACTCAGTCCGGAGAGCAGGGCGGCCGTTTGACAGCTGGATCCCGGGACCTTCGAGTCCCCTAGGCGAGACAGGTGAGTGCCAGTCCAGTCACCTGCAGACGCCAGGCCAACTCTCGGGGCATTTAGGTTGTATTCCGTTTTGTTTGTTTTAAAGTGAGTTTAAGTGCCCGCTGCAGCGGAGTCAATGCTCGTGCCCGGTCACCCTCCATGACAGAGTAGGACGGCCTCATAGGGTCCCCAGGGCTGGGCTTTCCAAAGGTGACTGCCACAGGGCTTTCCTGAGGAGCAGCTGCTTGGTTCAAACTGCTGAGCGCGTAAACCACTGTGACCCAGGCCTACGCCTGGTTCAATAAAGATACCATTTAAAGAACCATGTTTCTGCTGTTGGCTTCCTGCCTGATCCATTTTTCTAACCGATATTACAAGAAAGAAATGACTGCCAACCAAGGTCTGTGACCGGCAGGGGTGTGCCTGCCATCCTATGGGAAAAACTTCTTGGACAGGAAGAGCAGCCCTGGGGCTCGGGGAGCTGGTGCGTCAGACTGACTCGTTCGGAGTCCTCTGGTTCTCACTGCCAGTCCAGAGCCAAGAGCCTCTTTGTTGCTTCTTGAGCCTCGAGTACATTTTAGACCTCTTATTTTAACCTTTTTGTTTGTTTCAAAATTGTAGTCTCATATTCTGTCTGCAAAAATGATGTGGAGGGGCATGACAATCGACCTCCTCTGGTTTCCCCATTGCCCTGAGGCAGGGGCAGCCGTGCCTGCACCCTGCACATCCTTTATCTATTTGGACCCCAGCTGTTCCTCCACAGCACTCTACTTCTCTGCTGGGCTCAAGAACTGGGCAACGGCCACACAGAACGCACAGACAATACTCACAATGAAGGGGGTGCTTAGCGGAGTTCACGGGTTACCACAAGCCAGGTCAGATAACCTTCGGGGTGCAGTCATTGGTGCACAGGGACACCTCTCTTCAGCCAGCAGCCAGCTCTTTCTCTGACCCTCAACTTGTTAGTCATGTGGTCGCTTGGCCGCTGCCTGCGTGGGCAGGAAGCTTCCTTGCTACTCTCCCTCACAGGCTCCTGATCTTGTCTCTGCTCCGCTGTTCTGTCTCATGGCTTCTTCTATAGGGCTGCTACGAATTGGAATCTGCTTTATGGAGGTGATTTGTTTGTTTTTAAATGCAAGATGTCCTTTTGGCTGAGCTGGTTTAATTGATGGGCACTATCAGCCAAAGGAAGTAAAGGGTTCAAGGTTGAGGAGAAGGCACAGGTGGACGTTCTTCTGGGAAAACGCCATGGGGCTGGAGGGCAGGGATGAGGTCCTGAGTTGAAGTGTCTTGGTACTAGACAATGCCCTTCTTTGCATTTCTCTTGAATTGAGACAACTTACTTAATGCTTTTTTCCTGATGTCTAGAATAAGTGTAACGAAGCATGGTTATTTAAAGAAGCAACTCAGAAATGTTTCAAGTCACTTGTGGGGGTTAGTGGTAGAGAATAGTACAGCTAATGAAATGTTTTGGCAGAAAGATTCTAAAACCCAAACAACTGGAAACACCATGAGCAGACTTCTGTACAGGTTTGCTACACAACTGTAAAGTTAGGCAGCGGTACTCCATCACCCAGTGAAGCAGTGCTCCCATTGAGACTTACAAGGAACTTTGTACATCATTTCACCAGGAACTTTGAAGCAAAAATTTTGACCGGCCATTTTGTCTTATAAGACAGCTGTATGCATTCATACCATATTAAAACTCAAATAGGGACGACGCTAAGACAGTCACATGATCCGTGAGCCATGGTGTTAAAAGCTGTGAAGTCTTAGAAATCAGGTGTGTTCATTAATCTTCCATTGTTTTTCTGAAAGAATGATTTGTAAGTGTTTCAGTGAGCTTGCCTGCCTAGAGACAGCTGTGTGAAATAAGGTAAGCTATTCTAAATGGTAACTTAAGGCAGAACTGGAAGCTTAAAACAAATGTACATAGACGATTATGCAGGACACAGATTTTTTAACATTTCCTAAGATGGACAAGAATGGGCAAGAGAATTCTCTCTCTTTGCATAAAGCAAAATTTCTGATTTAACAACATTTATTCCTTCCCTCTCTTCTGTGTAATGATCTCCCCCCCACTCCCCATGAAATGAGAGAAGTACTGTGGATTCTGATATAAAGGAAGTATTTTTTAAGGACTCACCATGAGATACCACTGACTGCAGTCGTTCTTAATGGAAGGTGGCCTCAGACAGCTCACTTCATTTATGCCCAACATGTGTGTTTTATAATAGAGCCCAGTCCGGTCTCTGGTCTCCGTGTGGTCTCCAGGGGGACGACGGAAGTTTATCTGACTTGGACCAGTGGGAATGGCACTGCCAACTGCCGGATGCTCCTGGAAGACGTTGGAAGTCAAAATGAGTCCACTCAAGACTCGGTGGTCAGTATTAAAGACCTGAAGCCAGGGACTCGTTTGAATGTCACCGTGTTTCTTCGAGAGACCCGGGGAGACCCAGAAGGTGACATGGGTGAGTAACAAAAATATACTTCCGTTGAAAAAAGGAAAAAAGCGCCAACTCTCAAAATGGCCTGGTCGCATCACCTTGTCTAACTTCCCAGGGGAGGGAGAGGAGAGTCAGTGTCCGTGTCAGCAGCCCCGGCGGATCCCTGAGTAGGAAGGTTTGGACATAACTTTCTCTCTCCAGCCTTTTTGAGCAACTCCTATGCCAGCCGTTCCCACTGCAGCGCCCTGCTCCTCCGTTGGGTCTGAGAACTCATTGCCGTGGTCACACTGTACTCAAGGACGGTAGCCACGGTTATGGGTTTCAGTAGGGAAGTTACAAGTTACACTTCAAGGTCAGCAGGGACTTAGGATACAGTTCTTTGGTCAGGACAGCTCTTCATGCCCACAGGCAGACCTCCTCTTGCCCTTTGGCTCCTTGGGCTTCTTAAGCTGGCTCAACCCAGCTCTTGCCCTGCTCAGGCAAGTGTTGCAAAGCTCTTTCGCCCTACTGATAGGTTCCCAGAGGCACCTGGCTCTGCCGTAAGCCTAACCTGAAGGCTCTCACCTCTCTCTCTGTGGGTTGCTGAGCTCTGCCAAGTGCCAGGAGGCACCCCACTGTACCACCCTGCCCTGTGGACTGGAAAGCCCACTGTGTTTTCTCATGAGAGTCTCCTGTTCCTGCTGCTGCTGCTGCTTGCCAGCTCATGTGTTATATCATCTCGGTCGCCTGGGTCTAGGAGGTTCTCTGTGCAGGGATCCTGGGTCCCCATCAAGAGCACACATCCTTCCTGACTCTTCCTTGGTGATCGTGAGCACTCCCCCACTCCATTTTCCTATCCCCGGTGCTAGAATCGGGCCTCGGTGACTTAGTGGAAAAACAGCATTTTATATTTGTATAGTGTCACAGAGCGTATAGAGGACTCTCCCTCCACATTTTAGAATGCTTTCACTCTTGAAAGAGAAAGGAAAAGTGAGCCCTCCCACCCCTTTCTCCAGGGACTCAGAATAGAAATTAGGCTAGAAACATTTTGGAGTCCAGACTGGCTCTTTGGGATTTTAACCTTCAGTTGAACAAAGGACACATGTAATACTACCTCTAGTCCCCCAGCACCACTGAGGAGAGGGCTGCTCAGAAGATGAGCTCTGTGCTGACATTGAATCGGACGGATTCCATGGCCTGCTCAGTGGGTCAACCCTGGGAGTTGGGAGGGACAAGTCTTGACCCCATCAGACACTTCAGGAAACAAGCACTACGGTGTGGCTGTTGGGACTCTTGATGGCAAGTGACAGAAAGCAGACTGTAAATGGTTTAGACTGGAAGAACGATTTATTGACTTGTGTCACTCCCCCCACACTGTGGGTGAGGAAATGGGCTCTGTCTCCCACCCCACACTCCCCACTCTAAATCAGTAGGGGGTCTGGTCCAGGGGAAAAGGTCCTTGAGTGAGGAATTTGAATTGTGTCCCTGTCCCTGGGAAAGCCTGGGAAGAATTGGGACGGGAGAAGACGGTGTCCCAGAAGAACACCGAGTGGTTTGAAGCGACCGAGGAGAGGTACCAACAAGGACCTGTGCTGCCGTTGGCAAGGCGGTATAAGCAGCACATGCACTTGGCTGCTGATAGGAAGGTTGGAGGTTCAAATCCCCTGAGGTGCTCTGGAAGACAGTTCTTGGGGGTCTAGCACTAGCCATTGAAAGTCCCCTGGAACACAGCGCTCCTCTGACACACCTGGGGTCGCCATGAGTTGTAATGAACTTGGGGGTAACTGATTATTATTATTACTTTTTAAAACCCAGGGTTTAAGCATATGGAACAAAAACTCTGCCCAAAGTAGGGCCCTTGCAGGAAGATGCCCCTCTGCTTGGGGGAGGACTGACTGGTGCTGTCAGGAAGGCGGAGGGGGGTGAAGGAAGAGGGGCAGGGGCTTCTACCGCAGTTCACGCCTTTGCCTTTTGTGTTTGACGCAGACGCCAACAGCACCCTGGGCAGCTCCACGGAGAAGCCAGCCAGCAGCCCCGCTGCCCCTGTGGACAGATACCGCCTCGAACCTGAAGACTCCTCCTCTTCCCAAGGGTCCTCGGACACGAGGGTCTGGATTGTTGGCTTACAGCCCAGCACGGCGTACAAGGCCACTGTTTATCCTCAAGCGGAAGGTGGCACGGAGGGACAGCCCCAGGCCGTAGGATTCTGGACAAGTACGTTGACTTTTAAAATGGCTTCAGACAGCATTTTCCAGCACGGAGTGTTCTTCTCTGTGATTCTGCTCCCCAGCGATTTCTTGCTGATTAGTAAGTCCTTTTGTAGGCAGCGAGTGTTCTGGGGAAGATATTTTCAGACAGCAGATCCACTCAGCTGCTTTGAACGCTGGGTTCCAGGCATTTCTTTCATGGGACTGGACTGCGGGGCATAGACGGAGTGGCTGCAAAGTGCCGGCCGGCCCCCAGCCCGCTGTCTGTCCCGTCCTTCGTATCTCCATCTAGGAGCCACCTACGAGCCACCGAGAGGAACTAATGTATTACTCTCCCTGGATAGCTACTCATTTTGTTGATGCTGCTTAAAAATTTCCCCATGAGTTAAAAAAAATTAGTTTTTCTTAAAAATTTTTTTCTTAAAAAAAATTAAAGCCTGACCTTGGGATTCTGACGGATTTTTCTTTTGAAAGACAAGTTGCCTATGCGGATGGGATTGGAACTGTAATTGAAGGGAGCCCTCGTGGCATAGTTGTTATGTGTTGGGCTTCACAACACAAGGCAAGCAGTTCAAAACCCCCGGTGGCTCCATGGTAGGAAGGTGAAACTTTCTGTGTCTGTAAAGAGTTACAGTCGCAGGAATCCTCAGCAACATTTCTATTCTGTTCTGTAGGGTCGCTATGAGTTGACAACGCGTTCTTTATTTTGAATTTTTTTTGGGAGGGTTTCTTTTTGACAGTGCGGTTTAAAAAAGATGTGTCATTGGTGCTGTTGGCTAGGCATTAGACTGCTAATAACAAGGTCTGTGGTTCAAAACCACCAGTCAGCTTGAGAGGGAAAGATGAGACTGTCTAGCCCATGAGGAGTTATAGCCCTGGAACCCGTATGTAGGGCGGCTGTGCGTTAGAATCAACTGGAGGGCAGTGTTTGGTTTGGAGGCTGGGTAACGTAGTGAGGTCCACATTGAGCCCCTCGCCACAAGGCCAGTGGTCTGAACCCCCTAGCTGCTCCTCAGGAAACGGATGGGGTTTTCTGCTCCTGTAGAGGTACAGCCTCTGTACCCAGAGGGGCCGCTCTGCTCTGTCCTACAAGGCTGCTATGGGTCAGAATCAACTCGATGGCAGTGGGTTGGGGAGCACAACCGTTAGGTGCTCAGCTGCTAACAGAAAGGTTCATGGTTTGAATCCCCCGATGGCTCTGCTGCAGAAAGACCTGGTGGTGGTCTGTGGTCGCCAAGCTTCACAGCCCAGAAAACCTGCTGGGGGCCAGTCCGCTCTATCACAGAGGTCCCGATGGGATGGCACCTGATGACCAGAGCAAAGCTGTCCTTATAGGTTAGCAGCACTCCCCTCTGGTCTCTGGGGGCTTCTTGGATTGTGCGGAGGAGGAAGCAGCAATGCCTGGGCCCTCCTCCCAGTGGGGCTCAGCCTCAAAGGGGACTCCAGACCAGCACACAGAGGAGAGTACACGAGGTGGCCCTGGGGGCTCAGGAACAGAGGCTGCAGCCCCACCACCATCAGGGGCTTGGCTGTAAGCAGCGGCTTCCCTTAGTACAAAGTTCCTATTTAGAAAGGCTCTTATAGGCCCACTGGTGGCAGGTGTTGGGATGGGGATGGAAAATAGACGGACACTCCATCCAGTAGTGCCTTGGGAATAAAGCCTGACGATCTGCTTTGCACTTGGGGTGCTGTGAGTTAGAACCGACGCATCGGCAAACCACAACCACAATAGGCGCGGGCCGACACTTCTGCCATCAAACCAGAGGGAAGGCCTCTTCTGCAAGGGGGGGATGTGGACTTGCTTGGAAGGGCTGGGAAGGGTTTGAGAAATGGAGAGAGGGGGAGGGCATGCCCATGAGCAGGAGTCAGTGGGAGGAGGGAAGCAGGGGAGGTCAGGAACCACCGAGGGAGCCGGGAGCCTGGAGCCGGGAGGGCAGTCTGGAAGGGGGCGGAAGCTCTTTCTCAGAGACCACAGGATGGCAGTCTAGGAGCTCTGCATCTGTCCCATGGCTTAAACAAAAGATATATTTTTACAAGGATGACCAAAGCCTCCCATGGCAGAGAGACCACCAGCCTCCCATGGCAGAGAGAGAGAGACAGAGAGCGCAGAGGGCCGAGTCGGGGAGCAGAAAGAAGAAAGGCCTGGTGGTGAAATGGGGGAGGGCTTGGGGCCGTGCAACACCCTAGGCTGGGAGACCAGACAGGAAGACACCCAGGTGTCCAGACCCCAGTGAGAGTCTTACTGGGAGAGCGGGGAGAGTGGGGACAGATGCAGAGGAAAGGGGGGCGGGCAGGTATTGGGGTTCAGAACATTCCAGGGGAGTGATTTAATTCCTACAAAGCTATTGCCAGGCGTGTTTTCAGAATCATCCCTTCTCTAGAGAGTGAAAAGAGGGGCAGGCCTGGTTTAGGGTCCCCCGAGGCAGTGACTGACCAGGCTAGATGAATTGTATGGGGCAAGAAGATTTCAGCGAGAAGTCGATGACAGATAGGTGTTTTATAAATTAACTGCGTTTCTTGATGCCTCTTGGAAGGAGGTCCCCCTCATGCCCTCTTTGGTCTTTTCTGGGGATGCTCACCTGGGGTGGGAGAGGAGAGGATGCAGTGACTGGCAGGAGTGGGAGGGCCGCTGGTGCAGATGGCTCCGTTTCTAGAGGTTGTAGTGAGGTGGGAAGGGGAAACAGAGAGAGGCTTCCCCAGGGTTCCAGGTCCAGGTTGTCCCATACATAAGATGAGTGGAGTTGAAATCTAGGTTGGGTGCCCCTCCTCAAGCCATGTGCCCCAGGGCAGGGGCCATGGAGAGGCAGGGCCCTTTGCCTCCTTTGCTAAAAGGGGTCATATGGATGAGCCCTGTCCTTGCGTTTCTCGCTTTCTACAAAGCATTTTGAGCAAGAGCGAAGCACCGGCAGTATCTTCAGCTTTTAATCATTTGGCGCTACGCGCAAACCCTACGTGGCCTTGCAGCATTTTGCTGTGGTTGCTAGCTGCCCTTGAGCCGGACTCCTGGCTCCCCAGTGCACAGCAGGGTCAGATTGTTCCGATCTATAACATTTTCACTGTAAATGGATGGCCAGGAGGCTCCATGGAAACATGTCCAGCGTCACAGCCACCTGTCAGCATCCCCTGACAGGTGAGTGATGGCTTCGCTTGAGGCACCCTTGGTTGGCATCCAACTAGGCTCTCCCACATGGAAGGCAAGGATTCAACCACTGAACAACCACTGCCCCCTGGGCTCATGTGCTTGATACGTTATAATTATAACAGCCTTACCCTCTATGGAGGAAGCCCTGGTGGCAGAGTGAGTCAGGCAGCGGGGTGCCAACTTGCAAGGTCAGCAGTTTGAAGCCACCAGCCACTCTGCAGGAGAAAGATGAGGCTTTCTACTCCCATCGAGAGTTCCAGTCTCAGAACTCACAGGGAGAGTTCTACCCTGTCTTCTAGAGTGGCTGTGAGTCGGAATCCATTGGTGAGCCTGAGTTGTTGTTATCCTCTAAAGAGCTCTATTGTGCTGCTAAGCATTTCAAAACATGATAAGGCTGGGGTGGGGGTGGCAAGATTCAGGAAACCATGACAGGACGTTGAGGCATCTTGAAATTAGCTAAGGTAGCAGGGCAGCAGCAGGGCTGAAGGACCAGGGTAGGACCTGGTGTATCTGGACCTCGTGCAGATGGACACGGAAGGGTGCGGCGATGTCAGAACTCACTGCCGAGACTAGGAGGAAATGGGCAGAAAGGCTCCAATGTTTTTCCCTCAGCCTTCGAATCACAGCCCATCTGACAGGCCGCCCTAGTGATCCAGTGTGCAGGGTCAGCCTCCCAGGGCCGCAAGTGGGCCAGGGAAGGGTCGAGGGAGATTGGGAGGGTGGATGAACGAATGGAGAGCCACCAGCGCCCTCCCATTTTCTCCTCTTGAGACCAGGAATGCTCTCCCAATTGTACAGATGAAGAAATCAAGGCTCAAGTGATGGCTTTTCTGAGGCCCCTGGGCTGTATAAGCAGAGCTAGCCTGGCCACCTAGGCCTTGTTTCCTTTCTTATCCTTTTAGCTGTGAGTTAGGTGAAGGTTTATAGAGCAGATCGATTTTCCATTCAGCCATTAGTCCACGCTGTCTTGCGGCTCATCGATGGCGGTCCCCACATGCCAACCACGTAGCATCACTTGCTCTAGTTCCTCCTGTGCTTCTTGCGCCTCTTCTCCTCCTCCTAACCTTTCTGAACTCGGTGGTGGGTAACTGCTACTCTTTTCATCTCAGAGGGGTGATTCTTCTACGGTACGTGAACCACGCTGGCGTTATCGTTCCCCTAACAGACCAGTCTGTGGGTGGGCTGAAAACTGAGGCACGAGGGTGAGTTTATTTCCATATCGCTGCAAGATGGCTAAGAATCTTTGTCTCAGGGGTTCTCCTGGCTTCTATCTGACCTGTAAGCCTGGTCTTTCTTTACTGATTTCGAGGTTTCATTTCCAGATGACCATGGAGGGCATAGTGCTCATTCTGCAACGTATCTCAGGCTGAAGACTCTTTTCGAACGTCGCCCTTGGCACCCAGGGCGATGTGTACATTGAGACTGTGTTGCAGTTTGGTTAGGAGGCCAGCATATCTGTAAGAGGCATTTCTCAACACGAGCAAAGTGGAACCATGTAGATGGCCAGTTTTTCTGCACACTGGTGCCAGTTGACTTTTCCTGGGACTCACATCCATTTCCAGAAGTGGTTACCAGCGTAAAGGGAGGAGGAACGATGACCCAGTGTGCTATCGCACCCTGACGACAGTTTCTTCTCTTTCTCTGGCTTGGCCGTTTCTGTAATGTCGAACTCTCCTTCTGTCTTCACAGAGTCTAACAGTCAGGTGTTTGACCTCCATGTGGTGAACATCAGCGCTACCAGTATTATGCTGACCTGGAAGATTAATGAAACTCTGCAGTCCTCAGGCTACAGCTACAAAATACAAGTGGCAGAACAAACCATGTCCTTCAACCTCACGGCCAACGAAACCCGGGTTGCCATTCCTGGACTCACACCCTGCACCTTTTATAACATCACGGTGCACCCTGTGCAAGACGGGGGCTCTGAGGGCACGCCCGGCTTTCTCCAAGTGTACACTCGTGAGTTCACGCCTTCTGCCTCACCTTTCTCGTCTGCCTGCCAAGGGCAGGCCCGGTTTCAAAGACAGATCAGCTCTGACCCCTGACCCGGGGAATGCACAGCTTAGTGTGTTGTCCACAGGTTGTGTGATCTCGTATTGGTGACCATGGTTGATGGTGACCACTCACTCACTCAGCTGTGTGCAACCTGGTTTACCTGCACCACCTCATGACCTTTTGAGTTTAAAAAAATGTTTTAAAAACATTTTATTGTGAATTGGCTAATGGTAAACAGAGCAGATCCGTTTTCTATTCAACAATTCACACACACTTTGTCTCATTGCATTGCTTTGCAATCCCACAGGGCAACTTCCTGAATCCCATTTCTTTCCTGTGTTTCCTATTGTCAGTCCCTTCCTTTCCTAACTCTGTCAAGGGGTCAGTGCTGCCCACCTGCTATCAAATGGTTGTTTATAAGGTGTGTTATTGTTCTGCCTTATAGACGTGTGTATTTGGCTGAAAATGGAGCCATGGGGGTGAATTCATTCTAGACCTGAGGAGAGACCAAGAGTCAAACTCTTGGGGGTCCCACAAGTCTCTATTTGACCATTAATCTTGTTGTTTTGTTTTTTTTAAAATGATTTTGAGTTTTGTTCCACATGCACTCCCTCAGCTCACAGCATCTCTGGGCTTGATTGACATTGGCCTTATTTTATTTTTTAAAATACTTTTACTAGGGGCTTTACATCTCTTATCACAATCCATACATTCCTCCAGTGTGTCAAACACCTTTGCACATATGCCACCATCATCATTTTCAAAGCATTCTCTTCCCACTTGAGCCCCTGATATCAGCTCCCCATTTCTTCTCCCTCCCTCCCTTCCTCCCTCCCTGCCGAACCCTTGCTAAGTTATAGATTATTTTTCCATATCTTATATCATCCTCTATTGCCCTGCATTCACTTTTCCATTATTTGTCTCCCTGGGAGGGGGTTCTAGGTTGATCTTGTGATCAGTTCCCCCTTTCTCCCTCCACTCTACTCTTATCCTCCTGGTATCTCTACTCTCATTGTTGGTCCTGAGGAGCTTATCTATCTGGATTCCCTGTGTTGTGGGCTCTTATCTCTAGCAGTGTATATGCTCTGGTCTAATCCAATTTGTAAGGTATAGAACTGAGGTCATGATAGTGGGGGAAGGAAGCACCAAAGAACTAGAGGAAAGTTGTGTGTTTTGTTGGTGCTATACTGCACCCTGACTGGCTCATCTCTTCCCTGTGACCCCTCTGTGAGGGGATGTTCAACTGTCTACAGATGGGCATTGGGTCTCCACTCCAGGCGTCATCCCCATTCACCATGGGGATGGATTTGTTCTGGGTCTTAGATGCCTGATACCTGATCCCACCAATACCTCATGATCACACGGGCTGGTGCTTCTTCCATGTGGGCTTTGTTGCTTCCCTGCTAGATGGCCACTTGTTTATCT